GTCGGTGCCGAGCCTTCGCTACGTAGGGCAGCAGCTGATGTTGCTTCGGCAGCATACGGAGTTGCCCATTATTTTTACCACTCGATGCACCAAGGAGAACGGCAAATTCCCAATGGATGACCCGATGCTCTTCTACAAGTATCTGCGGCGGGCGATTCAGTGGGGAGTGGAGTACATTGATGTGGAGCTGTGGCTGCCCGAAGACATCCGGAGACGGTTGTCGGAGGTCAAAGGAAACAGCATCATCATGTCTGCGTTCCACGATTTCTCCGGCACGTGGAAGTGGACGTCTCCAGAGGCACCCCGGATCTTTGCGGAGAGCGCCAAGTACGCGGACATTGTCAAGATGATTGCCATGGTGACTACGATCGAGGCCAACTACGAACTGGAGTACTTCCGGTCGACGATCAAGGGGACCTACGGGCCCTACCCACTTCTCTCGGCAGTCAACATGGGCCAACTAGGGCAGCTTTCGCGTGCACTCAATACGGTGTTTTCGCCCATCACGCATCCGCTGCTGCCGATGATTGCCGCGCCCGGCCAGCTGACCGCCGCCGAGATCAACGAGGCCCTCCACATCATGGGACAGCTTCCGAAACGGGATCTGTACGCGATTGGGTCCTTCCGATCCACGCCGCAGTCGATGTTTATGGAGAAATGCTTCAATGAGCTCAGTTTACCGCACACACTGACTTCGATTGACCGGGGTCCCACGGGCTCGATCGAGCGGGTGATCACGCAGCCGAGCTTTGGGGGAGCGTCCGTTCACCCGCCGATCGCCAGTGGGACGAGCAGCATCCCGGCCATCAGCGAAGCAGCGCAGGCGATCGGACTGGTGGACACGATTGTGGCCATGCGGGGCTCTAGCCGGCTACAGCAGCCAGCACCGCCGCAGCAGCAGTTGATGGGAGAGAACGCGACATGGAAGGGAATCCGGGCGACGTTGACGCGGGACTATGTGCCGTCGGCGTACCGGGGACGAGCAGCCATCATCTTAGCGGGGAGCGAGAGCGAAGCGTCGGCGACGATCTTTGCGTTGCGCAGTCTGGGAGTGGGCGCGATCCACACGGTCGGGTTCCGGGCGCGCGGCCCGCTGGCGGAGGGACTGGAGCCGTTTACGTCGATCCAATCGGTGAAGATGGTGGAGCAGCCGTTCGTGATGGTGTCGGCGCTGCCACCAGAGAAGTCGCTGCTGGTGCAGCCGTTGCTGCGGCACTACCGGACGAGTGGACGCACATCGCCGCCGTCGACTCGGGGGAAAGTGTACCTGGACTTGACCAGGGGAGAGCGCACGGGAGATCCGGTGGGGGTAGCCGTGCGAGCCGGCTGGACGGCGTATGGGATTGAAGATGTCGATGCATGGACGACGGTGGAGACGCTGCGACTGCTAGTGGGACAGAATGTACCGTTTGATTTTGTACGTATGGCATCGGGACGGGTGTTTTGAATATTCTTATATAGAATTGGAGTAAATCGGTCTGATACTAAATGAATGAACTGTATCCACTTTGAGTAGGGGTATTGTTGCTGCTACTGCTTTGTAATGGTGTGATGAATGCAGTGTGATCATGCTACAACAGACGATGGATATTAAAAACAATCACGGCAAGTGAAATAAATTAAATACTAAGAGTGCCGGGCCGGGGCATATGCCGGCTGCAGAATAGCTTCTCTTACTAGACTGGAAAGGTCTGCAGGGTGATAGATTGCGATCGACAGTTTCTGACAAGATGTTCACCAGTTCACCATATATTCTGGTACTATCCTGGATAGTGATGATGGCCTTGAAAGAAGTGCTGGATTTGCGGACGAGAATCCGTGCTGGAAGCGGGAAAATCCCGAGGAATATTTAACCGACAGAGAGTGTTGGTGCTTCATGCATGAATTTAACATTACACCAACCACTTAACATGATCAGTTAGTAGTAGTAAGTAACTGATGCAAGAAAAGAGAAACTCCCCGCATTCGCAGTGTCTAACCAGATCCATCTTAGTCCACCGGCTTCTCCACGTTTGCTTTTGGTTTTAAATCCGGGGTCACTTCGCTTTTCTTCTTTCTCCCTCACTTTCTCTCTCTTCCTCTTCCTCTTCTTCGGCTTCGGCTTCTTCTTCCTTGACTATTTCATCCTTTCCTCTCTTCAAGTTCCCCACAACCACTACGACTCAACTACAACAACTCCAACTCCCACGCCATCCTCTTCACCCTCTCCATCCATCCTATGCACAGGCAATGCCATGTCCCGCCCCCAGGTCAGCATCGACCGTCTCACTCCCCGTCGCGTCCATGCCGAACCCCGTGAATCAATGAACTGCAAGTCCTGCAGAAAGCGAAAGGTACTCACATCATTATCATTATCTTTCGTGAGATCACCATCATCTTCTTGATCTGACAAAATTGCCAGATCAAATGTAATCGTCTACGTCCCAGCTGTGAGGCCTGCAAGGTCTTCCAATGTCCATGCATCTATGGTCTGATCCTCTGCCTGCCACGTTAATCCGAACTCTACTCATTCTGGTAGACGCCGTTCCTAAAAAGCGGGGACCCAAAACCGATGTCCTGGAGGCCTTGTTAAAACGGGTTGACGGGCTGGAAAAGCGCCTCCAGGAAGACTCGCCGATTTCCCCGACCTCGGCTACCTCTCCCATCAAATCTTTGGACCAGCAACTGCTGCCGTCCGCCTCGACGCCATTCCACTTTCCCCCGGCGCCTCATGGCTTTCCCCCGCCCCCGCAATCGCAGCCGCAGCAACACCGGCTGCCCGATGCCATGCTGGACAACTACTTTGCTCGGCTGCATGGGAAGCCGTATTGGATTCTGGATGAAACGGCCACACGTCAACGGCATCAGCATGGACAATTACCAATGCATCTGTCTATGGCGATTTATGCCCTAACCCTAAGGTAGTAATTATTGTTCCTCGGTCGTGAGATTCTGGCTGATGTTGTAGATATACTACGCCGAATCCTCCGCAAGGCAGCCTGGAGTATGCTCGTCAGGCAAGACGGCTGGTCGATATTGACAATCCGTCCATCGAAGGGACCCAGTCTTTGCTACTGCTCTGTCATACCTTTTTCGCCTACGGGTGTGGCAAAACAGCCTATATGGTATTAGGTATGTGCGACGCCTACTGACGCAGACTGGTACTGACTGCCCAGCCAATGCGGTGTCCATGACACTGGCGCTGGATTTGTATCGCGAAGCACCCGCAGCGCTGCCTGCCGCAGAACGCGAAATGCGACGGCGATTGTTCTGGACCGTCTACGTGATGGATCGCTTTCTCACCTGTGGCTCCAAGCGACCGTGTCTTATTGCCGACCATTCCATCGTCCTGCGTCTTCCGGGCAGCGGGTCTGAATCGGGCGAATGGTTTAACCCGGTTGGCCCTAATATTCATTACTCTCCGGACCGTCGCAAAGGCCCTGGTGGCCCGGCTCTTTTGGTCGACATTACGCGCATTCTGGGCGTCACGCACCGCTACCTCGCCGCGGGGGGCGTCAAAGGCGATTCGCACTTTCCCTGGCACGCCCTCTCCAATCTATCCAAGATCCGCCAGGAACTCGACCTCTGGGCGGCCGGCACACAAGATTTGTTCGCATCGATCGAAACGCTGTTCGGTCATCCGGAGAGCACGCTGCTGCTTTTGAGCAAGCTCATTTACCACCTCGTGCACTGTCTACTCTATCGGCCCTTCCTCCCCATCGACCTGGTCGAGCTGCGCGGCACCGGACAGCACCAGTCGTGGCAGATCGAGGCGACGACGCTCTGTTTCTCGCATGCCAACGCCATCGCCGAGCTAGTGGAGCTGGCCCGACACGCGCCACGCATCGAGTGGCCCGCCCTGGTGGCATACTGCGTGTGCACGGCTGGCACCGTACACGTACACGGAGTCCACTACCACGGGCGCGAGGGAGAAGTGTTTGCGTCGAGCGCAGACTTTCTCGCGCGCGAGATGCACCAGCTGTCGTGGCTACGGCAGTACTGGGCGGGGGTGCAGCACCAGCGGGAGATGCTGCAAAGTATTTCAGGATGCCATGCCGAGCTGGTGCGGACAATGGCAGCGCGACCGGTGCGATTTGCCCCGGTGTTCCATCTCGAGGACTTCCTGGACCGGTATCCAGGGCTAGCCGTGGATGGGGCGCATTTGCGATTAGTGGATGGAGACGAGTAAGCCACCACTCTCCATTTGACTTATAATACTGACTTGTTTAGATTACCACTTGACCGGCCCGATTTCAACAGACTTATGTACCCGCCTGCATCGACTCTACCTTCCCAAGGCCGAGGATCCATCAGCTTCCAACCATCGCCGACATGGCCACAACCCGAGCTCGCCCTGCCAGAGAGCAGTCTAGGCTTCTCACCAGGAGTGAGCAACTCCCCTGCACCGTTCCTCTCCGACCCATTCACTGCACCGACACCGCCCGCACAGCCCCAATACGCGACGTTTCCGTTTGAAGCCACTCCGGGCGGACCGGCACTGACGCCGGATGCCCCGTCACAGGGCAGCTCCAGCGCCACCGCAACAGGGGCAGCAGGAGCTGCAACAGGCACAGGCGAAGGCGAAAAAGACCCGTTTCTGAGTCTGCTGGAGCAGCTAGCAGAGAACGAGCATTCGCAAGGCGGACCCAGCGAGCTGGACTTTTTCCTCGGAGAGGGGCTAGACATGGTGATGCCTGAGGTGGAGGTGGAGAATCCGTAAGCCAAATACGAGCCAGGACATGAACCTTAGGGATAAGTAAATACGGAGCGATGATACCCTGTACATTATAATCAACACCAGCCAGCCAGCATAGTACATACAAGTAGCTAGCATACTAGTATATATTTAGGCCATAACGATCACATGACATGACATCATGACACACCCCCATCTAACTTTTGCTACACAAGTTCACATGATACAACATCTCCAACTACTAAAAACAGACACATAATAATTCACCATGTCCTCCCAACTACCATAGAGTACATGGTAGCGAGAGAGAGGAAGAGGGAACGGGATGGACCATAAAATCGACACCCTCGCCACCCTCCACAACTGGACCCAAGGCACTCCATCCCTGTATCCTTTCACGGGCATTATTCAACTGTACCTGGCGGAGGAGATCTCGGTAGTGACGGCTGTAGGAGAGATCAGTGCGTTTATGGAGAAGAGGGGGGAGGGAATAGGTACACCCCTAACCCGCCATCATCATACCTTATATAAATTACACACGATGATACTAATCATGATATAGATGAATGCGTCCACGACCTATGGGCCAGTATTCTACACGCGGGGCGATGTCTACCCTGCACAAACATCATGGTGTCATCAGCTACTGCTGAAATAAGTATCACTTCCAACGGTCATGGTGGTAAGCCGGGAGAAAAGATGATAAAGAAAGAGACTATCGACACAGACATCTCCCATCACCAAACACCCACCCCATCACAGAAGAAACTGATTGCCTTGATGCACGCGATCAAGAATATGCCCGATGTGCATGTGCATGTTCGTGCGAGGACGCGGTCGAGGTATTCTTATTCTGCTGCTTCGCAGGTGGGTGGTGGAAGGGAGAGGGAGAGGTATAGTTCTTATGGTGGTGGTGGTGGTGGTGGTGTTAATGGGGATATTACTGAGAAGAATGGGAATGGGAATGGGAATGAAGAGCATGGGGGAGGGGAAGATGAAGGAGAAAGTACAGAAGAAGAAGAACTGTACCACCCATCCCTAGGTGTATATCTCGATGGGACGGTGGGCGGGTCGCATTATATTCGCCATTTACATGATTCTGTGGCTGCACCTGTTCCTCCACCACCTCATCCTATACCATCAGAACCAGGAAAGAACACCAATACCAACACACCCCAACCTCAAAATCAACCTCAACCTCAACCCGAAGAAAATCCCAGACCCAAACCCCCCAAACTCCCCTCCTCGGCATCCGAATCAACAATCCGACCCACAAAAACCAAGAGTTTAGTATGGGCCTACCTACCACATTTCCGAGACGTGGTAGGATCAATATTTCATGATTTTGGAGATGTGCTCGGGATGCATCTGCACCCTTTTCCACATACACATACACATCAAGAACACCAAAAATGGCACCCAAGAGATCAAAAGGTCCTCCACCAAGCATGGCTCAACTTCATCACATTCCTCGCATTCCTCGCTAGAGAAGGGGTACTACATTCCCCCAGTGACTCGGATAATTATGAGTATGGGTTTGATGAATATGATTGGGGATTCGATCATCATGATAATGGTAATAATAATGAGGATGGGGATGAAAGCGACGGAGTCGGGTCCTGGATCGATGATCTTGCGATTTCGTGTCTTCGGATACTTGAGAACCTTCCACATCAACCTCAGAATCATCACCATGATAAGAAAAATAAGAATGATCATCTGCAAAACAACACCCAAATCCTCACAGCAACGACCCTCGCCCTTCTCTACGGTGAACATCTCTGGCGGAGAAGGGGTATTCGCACTCCTTCCCATCCCTATCCTCCTTCCCCTCCTTCTCCTTCTTCTCACCAAGAAAAGCCTAAAGAAGAAAAGGAAGAGAAAGAGAAAGAGAAGGATAATTACATAGTAGCAGGTCTCACCCTCGATGAATTCGAATCAGGGTCTGTATCTGCTTCTACGTCTACCTCTGCGGCGAATTCTCCGCCTTTGGCTGTATCACCACCACCAAATGGTGGAGATGAGAGTGGGGATAGGGATAGGGGAAGGTTTATTACCAGGAAGACGTGGGAAGGGTGGATTCGGAGGTTTAATGAACTTGCTGGGGATGTTGGCCCCGGGATCGGGATCGGAATGGGGTTGTGGGATGGGACGAGGGAGGGGGCGTGGTTGGCGGGGGAGGTGTTGAGGAGGGTTATTTCTATTCCAGAGTAGTGCTATTAGTACTAGTACTACTGGTAGTGGTGGTGATGGTGATGGGTAGTTGGTTGAGGGTATGTATATAGTCAAGTTAAGGAGTGTATATAATCATGCAGTGATGTCACTGCAGTAATATAGATCAGATCTATTAACATCGATGTAATGTAGATATGAACATGTATGTATGTATTCAACGCTGTACTGTATGCTCTAGCTTTAAAGAAGGTTATGAAAACTTCACTCCCTTGCTCGGATCCCACTGTCCCCCAAACCGTATCCCCATCTCCGGTGACCAGATCCCCGGAGTCATCGGTGGCCGCGCATTCGCCCGCGTAGGCTGTGGTGCCGTCATGGGCTCGGGTCTGGGTGCTGCTTGAGGAGCAGTGTACGATGGTTGCTGAACCTGCGCTGGAGGAGCATTATAGGATGGCTGCTGAACCTGTGCCGGAGCATTATAGGATGGCTGCTGAATCTGCGCCGGAGCGTTATAAGATGGCTGCGGCTGCGGCTGCGGTTGCGGCTGCAGTTGTGGCTGGCGCGAGATATTCAGCGACGCCATGGCGGCAGCACTCGAAATATCCCTATCACAGTTAGCTAGATTCCAAGGTCAACTGGTATAAGCTTACCCCTCCAGCTGGCTGGCTTCCATTCGCCGCTTGTGCACAAACGCCTTGCTGTCGTCGCGGAAGCGTCCCACAATCTTCGCCAGATCGTTGTAGAACTTCCGTCCCACTTCGATGTTCGACAGGATCTCCTTGTACTTCAAATACCCGTTCTCCAGCTCCTGCAACGCCCGCTCGCGCTCCTTGGTCGATGCGTCGCCAGTATGTGCCCGTGTAAACGCCCGGTTGGCTTCCTGCACCCGTGCTGCGATCTCGTCTTGGTCTTGCTGTTCCCGTGTGACCATGTCTAGGTCTGTGTCATACAGATGCAGCTGCTCCTCGAAGAGATCCTCAAACTGGCTGGCCTGGATCGCCTGCATAGGAAACTCGCGCTCCAGCCGTGCCGTCTCTTTGATAAGTGCTTGGCCTACTTCTGTTAGCTCGTCCTCCTACGTTGGTAGGTCACTTACTAATATCGTCCGCCCGCGCCTTGTCCTTCAATGCCTGCGCTTGCCGTTTCCGCCGGCTCTCCAGACGGCTCACCTCGCTCATACATCCCCGCAGTCGGCTCACCTCGCGCTCGACCTCCGGCGGCAGAGCAGCCCACCGGCTGCTAGGGACGTACATCTCCAGATCACGGTTCGTGCCAGTCAACACCCGGAACACTGCCGCAGAGTCTTTCAGCTTCTGCTCAACCAGGTTATCACTGCTCTGGGCCGACGTAAAGTATCCCTCGATTTCGCGCGACGTCGTGTACAACTTTGGCGCAGCCTCCTCTGACGAAGCTCGAGACCAGCGATCGGTGCCGAATTTCCGGCGTGACGCATCATCTTCCGCTTTTTCAGCCGCCAGAAGCTCTACGCCCTCGTTGTACACAGCCCTGTCGTTGGCCTTGACCGTTGCCGTGTCCTCAAGCGACTTGCGCAGCCGGTTCAGCCCGTCCTGCTGGCGCATCTCTTCTGCATGCGATACCAGTGTCGGGGGAAGACCAAGCGGCTTCTCCAAAGCCTGCAGCGAGCCTGGAAGATTCAAAGAAGACAACAGACTAACTGGTTAGCCTTGCATAGCAATAGAAAGGGAAAACTTACTCCCTGAGCTTATCCGTCATGTTCTCCAACTCCCCAATGATGTTCTCATTGATCAGTCGATCCCGACGATCTGAGTAAATGCTAGCAGCAATGTGCACAGCATACGGCACCAGTTTAGAGAACAGCGGTTGCCCCAGAGGCCCGTTCTCGCCCAACATAGAGATAGCATCAGTCACCTGGGACGGCGCCTTCGCAGCAACCATAGATGCCCGGTCAATCAGCTTGAGTTCCGACTTGGGCGGCACTGGATTGAGGTAGATAATATCATTATCCTTCTCAGCACGCTTCAAATCCTCGGTCACCCTGGTCTTCAATCCCTGGAGATCACCCAGCACAGTCCGGTTAATCCAGCGCGATTCCTTCAACGCCTCATTGACACACGCCTCGCTGTCCCTCAGACGAGCAACCTCCTCACCGTACTTGCGCTTCTCCAAGCAATCCAAAGACTGCCGGTACTGCGCAGCAGCAGCAAAATGATGATGCTTAGCCGTCATATGGTGAATCCACTCAGGACTGATAGCATTCGACTTGACCGCATGATCTCCCGCCTCTGCATAAAAGTCCGAGACCTTAGCCGCCAGCCGAGCAATCGACGCATCCTTCAGCCCGTCCTTGACAGCCTTCTGCCAGAAACATTCCTGAGCCTGCGCCAAAAGCAGCTGCTCCAAGCTCTGCAGTGTCATATCATCCATATCCTCGGGAGGCGACGTCCGCAGATCGGGAAGGATATCCGACCGCAAGTGAGTCAGAACCCCAGCCGCCTGGCAGAAGTAATTGCACGCCTGCTTGAGACCATCCGATGTCGTGCGGTTCACGGAGAACGCTAGCTGCGAATACAGCGCAGCCAGGTTGAAGATAACGTTCGCGAGCTCGAAGCGGATATTATTCTGCGAAACTGAAACCAGTCAGCCACCATCACCACCCCAATCCCTGATAGATATCACCTACTCGGTCTAGAAGTATTGAATCCAAACGCAGGATACCACGGGAATTCCACCCCAACCTGCTCATGTTAACTTTATCCCTCTGCATCATCGATCTACTCACATCCACCGGAAACTTCCCACCCAGCCATTTCAGCTGCGCCGCATAGGTGACCAGTCGACTGACCCCGCTGACATGAGGCTCCTGGACATTGATCGCTTCGTTTCGCAGTCGCTCGATGATCAATAGATCCTCGGCGAACATGTCCGGGCGTTGGTCATATTTGGAGGAGATGTATTGCGTGATGGCATTCGACAGCGTGACGGAGTGCGACCGCCGAAACGGGACCTGGAGGATATTACTGGAGAGCGTTAGCAGTATTCATCATGATTTCTTGAGCAGCAGCACGTACGACGCCATCGTGTCAGTCGAGAGAGCATAGACATGCAGCCAGATCTCCGGAAGTTTTGTTGACGGAAAAGCCCAACCCCACCCGGGCAACGCATGACGTTGTGGGTGCCTGAGGCAGAAGTACGTTACATCCCACTTAAGGCAGTGTCACAATACACCATGTACTTACACCTGCTGCAGCAATGTACATCATCAATTTGTATTTTCGGCTAGTATGTACTATTTACTTCCAGTTGAGCAATATCCTTCCTATCCACCAATGCCCAACCATGTCCTGTTCAATGAGCCAGCTCATCTGCTATGCTGTGATGTATTCAATCAACCAGCCACCAATACTTCTGTAGACGTTTCAACCTTCCGGATAGTCAACACTTCTTGGATGTATTCAATCAGCCAGCTCATAAATACTTCCTAGATGTATTCAACCTTCCAGATAGTCAATACCTCAGTAGATGTATCCAGCATTCAGCTCGGTTTTGCTGTTGAGGAACTTAATCATTCAGCTCATCAATCCTGCTCCTGATTTAATCATCGAGATTATCAATTCTTCTGTTCATGTATTCGTAGATGCTCAGGAGAATCATGTTGTTGATGGCGGTACGAATCAAGATGATCGACAAACCCTTGTAGATACTAGACTTCGCCATAGCCGAGGCCGCCTCTCCGACTTCCTTGGACTTGCCAAGCAGCACACTCTGAGCGCGAGTCTTGCGGGTGTCAAGCGGGTAGGTCTATTTCGTTAGCTTTTTCACCCCCAGTCTGTAGAAGGTACACTTACACAAAACCAGGGCATGGTGCTGCAGATTGCACCAGCAATCGCGGGCGCTCCTGTTCCCTTGCCCATTTCTCTTTCCGCAATCTGCTTGACAGTCTCATACACGCCAAAGTACAGGCCGGTACCGACGGTGTCGCGCAGGGCATGAAGATGGAATCCGGTGTACAGTCCGCGGAAACCATATCTCTTGTAGATCTGTCGGAACGCTTCGGTAGTGCTAAGACGTGGCATGTTACGCAGTGAAGGGTCATTGGGCGCATTGTTAGAGGCCTGGGAACGATGGGACATCAAGACCGAGGTCTGGACTACGTTCTTCGCAAGCTCAAAGGGACCTGTTCTCGTTAGTAGACTTCTGAGTAGGGTATCAACCGCGTCTTACAAGCAACCGGCGAACTGACGAGTCCTGCAAAGAGACCAGCAGCGGTAAAGGTGACCACAGTAGAAACAGTGGGGCTGCTGCCTTCCTGGTCATAGATTTCTAAAGGCGACTCCCCGGTCATTCTCTGGATAAAGTCGGAGACCCTATTCTTGGCAAAGGCGTAGGTGGTAAAGTTCATCACTCTGACCGCCGTAACGCTTGCAAGAGGTGGCAGAGCGCCTGAATTTCAATATTTGCATTAACATCCGCTGTAAGAATGCTGGGTGAGGTCAACCTACCAGCCACGTAACCACGCGGGCCTTCAGTACGCCACAAATAGCGGATACACTGAGCTACATTTTGAAAGTTGTGTCTGTCAAGGTCAGTACATCTGAAGCAGTAGCAAGCAAATACCCTACTTACGTCTGCATACGGGTTTTGACGTTTTCCAGGGGAGTCTGCAAGCAGCTAGTCAGTTCCTCTTGCTCGACCTCTTGACGCGTAGCGCGTAGCACTCACCACTGCGAGCGTAGCGAAGACAGTGGATGACGCCGAGGCTACCTGAGTCTTGTAGCTCTTAAGCAGCTTGTTGCGTGTCGCTTCATCCATCGTCAAAGTGGTTTGCGTCGACCGGGTTAAGGGAGAAGGTTGAGGGGGGGAAGGTGAGAAGGGTGCATGTTCAGAGTGTTTGTCAAGAGTCATTCCTGGAGGTATCCCATCTGTGGCAGATGAAGTGCTCCGTGTTGATCGCTTAGTCGTCGTCGCCGGCGGAGACCGTGAGGGTCAGTGAAGGAGATCGTGAGATGCAGGCTGGGGAACCCTATGGAACGCAAAGCGGTCTCTCAACGTGCGAGCAGACCGTTCAGCGTCCCACAATTGTCCATGAAGCAGACCTCAGCAAGCCTGGTGATAGCACAGCTGTCCACAACAAGGGAACGTGAACGTTGGCGTATATATGAAATGATTGTGCAAGTTCGTGCAACCAAGGCAGTGACAGCACTCAGCTTCACAAGCAATAGTCAAGCTCAGACGCACTCAACCTGGCCGTGATGGTATGAACAAAAGCTTTGTTCCAGTGCAAGAATGTGCAGACAATCCCTCTTCCACACCCAGGAACTATATCGAGACAAACGACGTCGTCTGAGCTATCTGGACAGGACGCACAGGTCATTAGCCATTTGGTTCTTTCCATCCGCACCAACCCCGCCATCATAGTGGGACCACATTATTCTTTATCCCAGTTACCTCCGTCCAAGCAACATCATGGACCTGGGCTGGATAACTTACCTCCAGAAGACGAACTCGACTGTCGGGAGTGGAAGAAGGGTCAATGAGGCGGGGACAATGGGCCGTGCGGGCGAGAAATCCAGAGTCGAAATGCAAGAAAAGAGGGAGGAGGGAGCGGCGGAGATCATCACGATGGACTACCGAGTTGGTTTTAGGTCCTTATTGGGGAGAAAGTTAAGTTGACTAGTTAAGTTAGTGACCTTTCCAGCTTGTCTGCGGTTTTTCTGACTAAGGCAGGGAATCTTCCCCAAGAATCAGGCAAACAACAACGAGGCATGTGGCCGGTGCTTCTGGATGCGGTTTAGTGGCAGCCGGGCTGTGACGTCGTCGTGAAAGCATCCAGTGCGACAAACCGAGTATTTTGATACGTTCAGTACGACTTGGACCACCAGCGAGAACTTGACGGATGTCTCTGCCTGAGGGCAAGCGCGCCTATTACTCGCAACCGATCAAACTGTTCTCCTCTACGAGACATGGTACAATGTACATTCCAAACCCATTTGCACAACCTCAGCTCTGACAAGTGACAAGTGCTTCCGGGATGTGTGACTTTTTCCGTATTGGTTCTTTTGTTGCCGAGAATCCACCCTCGAACCTCGAACTGGGGAGCTAAACCCAAAGAGGGAGGCGTGGCAAGGGAGCTTGCGTTCGGACTAAGCCAGTCCGGCGGTTGGAGGTACCCGCTCTGCCTGCCTGACGAGCCACTCACTAGGCGGATGCTCACGGATTGACACTCTCCCTCATGGCCACGCTTGCTGCATAATCCGCAGTCATTGGCTCCTCCCCGGCGGATGGGCAGATGGACGAAGGAGGGCGGGATGCGTCTGGAACTGGATATGGCTGTGGAAGCCAGGTACATCTCTCTGCTTGCCTCCAATCATGGCATTCCGCAGCTCTCCTCTACAGCATTGAGTGTCGGTCCACCTAGACCGGTGCATGCATGTCTTGGTTGACACTAATAGAAGTACTTGGTAACATCAATGCTACGAGTGGTCAGAATCTTCTGACGGTCCTGACTGGTATACTACTAGTACTGCGCAGTTACAAATAGCAAGGGATTTCACATGCAAAGCGGGCGGGATAAGTCATTTTCCAATGATGGACGTATCCCTTCCTACTTCCTGTGCGTGGCATCTCCTGTTGCTCTTGACCCAATTCTGTAAATACTTTAAGGCAGGAAATCAAGCTCCAACAACATGTGGCCAGAAGAACAGTGGCATACCGCGGTACGAGCGAATTAACGTTCCCAGTCATTTCTGGACAAGTTAAGGGCGACGGTGGACAACCATGGTCTCTCGTGCCAGTGCCACCCATCCTGAGAATGGTGTCGTAATACGGCCAAGTTCGATTGTTCTCGAGCGATTTATTGTGCCAGCACTATTGGCTTAGCGGAAATAAATCTCGTCCTGCTGATGTGTTCCAGCGTTGAGTGGACTAACCATGGGTACATTGTTGGTCAGAACTCATTGTTGATCCACGGGAAGCCTGGATGGATATGCATGGATCAGGATTCGGTCGATCTCAGCATCCCTCAATACCCCACATATGGCAGTAGCTACCGTACTGTCCATACACTGTAGTACACAGTATCCCTTTCGTGGTGCATCAGCAGATAGTTCATGGGCACCGAGTTGTCAGGGATGATGTGTGGATGCCCAGTGCATGTCGGGTTGTCAGTATATACTTTGATGTTGTGCAATGGTGGAGTCCACCCATAGAGGACTGTTCATCAAACAGCGCTACTTTCTCCCCTGTCAATGAGAGGAATGCTTACAGAATAATGCTCACTGGCACTCGGAACTGCATAATTCATTCAGCTCATCCTAGACTTTGACATCCTCGGGACAGACTTGTTGGGGACTTTGACTCGGCCCGGCTTCACATGGGATGAACATGAAGTGATGATGTGCATCTGCCGATGTCCACATCTTTTACCCAAAGCTTGGATAGTACTAAGATAAACATCAGGGCTACCTGAAGAGATTATCGACCAGAACTATCGACTCGATTGCATTAAGAGTACAATGCAGTGGTTGTGCATGAATAATTGGGTTCAGCTTATCCTCGGGACCTCGGTCGGCACGGTTCCCCGCAGGGGCCTCTCCGCATCCAACGGCCCTTCAGTTTATCTCCGCTGCTATCCCCATGTGCTTCAGGGGTTTATTTTAACGTTGCACCCGTATTCTACTTCTATACTCACAGACCAACTATCTATTGACTAATTTCCTGCAAGCTTGCAGCATCTCTCACGACCAACTAACGAAGAATCACGAACTATTACGAGACTCCATCCAACATGGGAAAGAAGCCATCTGGTCCCGCCTACGTCCTTGGCGTGGGAATGACCAAGTTCATCAAACCACGCGGCAAGGTCGATTACCATGAGCTTGGTTTTGAAGCTGGTGTCAAGGCCATGCTGGATGCTCATATCAACTACGACGACGTCGAGCAAGGTGTCGCCTGCTACGTCTACGGTGACAGCACTTGCGGTCAGCGCGTGTTCTATCAGTTCGGTCTGACCCAGATCCCCATTTACAATGTCAACAACAACTGCTCCACTGGATCCACCGGCCTGGCCATGGCTCGCACCATGGTCTCTCATGGAGCTGCCGACTGTGTCCTGGTCGTCGGTTTTGAGAAGATGAGCCCTGGAAGTCTGCAGTCAGTCTATAATGACCGCGCCAATCCTACTGGATTATTCGGTACCATGATGGCGGAAACTAGGGGAATCACCAATGCTCCTGGTGCTGCACAAATGTTTGGCAATGCTGGACGTGAATACATGGAAAAGTAAGTTGCTTGCGCCGTTTGTTCACATGTACGAGTACTAACAAGGACTAGATACGGCGCCAAGACAGAGGACTTTGCCGAGATTGCTCGCATCAACCACGAGCACTCGAAGCGCAACCCATACTCTCAGTTCCAGGATGAATACACGCTCGAGCAGATTCTCAAGGCGCCCAAGATCCACGAACCTCTCACTAAGCTGCAGTGTTGCCCGACCTCGGATGGAGCTGCCGCCGCTGTCATTGTTTCCCAAGCATTCCTCGATGCACGCCCACATCTTAAGGATCAGGCCATCCTCATCGCGGGCCAGCAGCTCGCTTCGGACAACAGCTCGCTCTACAACCGCAGCTCCATTGACTTGATGGGCTTCGGTATGTCCCGCGGGGCATGTCGCGCCGCGACCGCAGAAGCGGGCGTCAACGTGAAGGACATCAAGGTCTGCGAGCTGCACGACTGCTTCTCCGCCAACGAGATGATTACCATCGACGCCCTAGAGCTTTCTGATCCTGGAAAGGCCCACGAGATGGTCCGTAAGGGAGACATCACCTACGGAGGCAAGATGGTCATCAACCCGTCAGGCGGTCTCATATCCAAGGGCCACCCGCTGGGCGCCACCGGTCTGGCGCAATGTGCCGAGCTGGTCTGGCATTTGCGCGGCTGGGCCAACAACCGCCTGGTCAATGGAACTGATGCCGCACTCCAGCACAACCTGGGCTTGGGCGGTGCCGTTGTCGTAACGGTGTACAAGCGCGCAGATGGCAAGGTTGCTACACCGGTGCCATCCGACGTTGTTGCTAAGATCTCCGGGCTTGGCTATAACCCGGCCGTGGAGGCCAAGGGCTTTACGGCGGAACAGGCCAAGTCCGTGCAGAGCAAGAACCACAGCGACACGTGGGCATTGGGCGATACGCAGGAGAGGGTTCTCGCACGTTTCTAAGAGGTATAGCTAGCTCTGAGATGATAGTAATGCAGATTGTATATCCCATTCACGTACACAACATATAATGCAGTGCCCAGTACCACAGCTTGTTGTAGCATCCCAAGTATACCCCGATTGTACAACCTCCCAAAAACACCATCCAAGTCCAATACAACTAGGACATCCCAGCTAAGCAAAAAAAAACCCACAAAGTCACACACATACACACGCCTCCCCCTCCATCCAATATTCCATCCCAACCCGCCGCAATAATACTCATTGATAAACCCGATGGCTGGGGGTGGGGCCTACAGCACCAGCTTACTAAGCACCTCACTCCACCGCCCGAGATAAAATAAATTTTCGCGAAATCTCCTTTTTCTCCCTTTTTCTTCTTTTTTTTTTCCTCTTCAAGGTCTCCAACATACCCTTGTTGATGGATAAACTCTCCATTCCACTAGCAAATTTTAGCTTCGAGACCGAGAGTGATATTTTATGCTCGTTCTAATCCCATTGCCTGACAATTGTTCACGGGGTCGTTTGGGTTCGCTTTGAGCATACACCATTATCATTCATCCTTTTAGGGATGGTTACTATCGTTGATTGAATGTGATTGGCGAAGGAAGAAAATGAGCTTCCCTAGCTAGTGATGTTCTTTCATTGTTGCTCAAACTGTTGAATTGTGGAACTAACTATAGGTTTTATATCATTATAACATGGGAGATGACGAGTGAGGAATGGAAGGAAGGATGGAAGGAAGGAAGGAGTCGGCACATTCGAAGCCTTGTCCGTCGTATCCCCATGATTCGTCGAGGTCAAAATCGTGCCAAGAGTGATCGGATTATTTGGACAAAAAATACGTCCTTAAATCTCTCCCTCGTGTTGCGACCGCCTGTTTCTTGTATGGGGTGGTACGTGTCAAAGTAGGGAGGTACATACTATCCTGTCGCCTTGGATTGGTTATGCGTAGTGACAATTAAGATCAATTGAAAAGATATCAAGACCAAAGATTACGCTTTAGAATTTCTTTCTGTTAAAAGTAACTCGGTTCACATTCTGCTATAACTTAAGAACATAAGAAAATATGATTGCATATATGCGAGCATACGTGGGAAACATCGTCATCATCATCATCATCCTCCAACTGACCGACAGCTTGTGCAGCGAGAATGTTTACATGAAAGGCACTCGCTGGCTTCGGCTTCTGCATTCCGTGATTCTCCACATCGACAACATACCCACCAAAGAAGTTTCCAAGATTGGGATTCCGAAGTGCTGGGTTCTGCTGTCTCGAACCCCATCCGATCAGCATCTTCCCACGGTTGCCTCTGGAACCGTCCTGGTACATTCCCATAGGCGCGACCATCAGAACTGTCTTCTGCATTGTCCGCCCGCCAATGCCAACGCAATGCAAGTAGTGCCAGTTTCTCTAGATGTTTGGCAACGTGACTCTCCCAGCTTGTGTCGGAAGTTGTGCTCAGTGTGCACAAGGGACACCCTAGGACCCCAATAGTACCCGACTGTGTGAGATGAAGTTGACAGTGTGCGAACCATTCTTGCCGTGATTCATACAGACGAAAAGGTGATGAGCAGTCTGGGAAGACACAGACATATGGCATGATGTCGTTGAGGACATGCTGGGCCCAAGAATGTTCACTGCAATCGACCCAGACCATGAAGAAGCAATAGGGACATTCATACCTTTCCTCCACTATCTGACAAGGAAAGAAAACCATTGCTTCATCACCTTCTTGTTCAAGAAGCGCTGCACGCGAGCCATTGGAGTTCCTCAATTCCACTAGCTCCCCAAGCTGTAACATGTCCCGTTTGACAAACTTTGGTGTGTCAGGCTCGCCTTCCTCGACTTTGTCCTGTCCTATAGCAAAGTTTGAATGGCATTTTCTCCTATACTGCAGCATTTCCCGGCGCAGTGATATCGCTGTTGCAAGGTTATCGACGATCCAAGGATTTGCCAAAGGGTAACTATCCAAAACAAGGCATCTATCAAATTCAGTTGGCAGCGCGCCAGACTTCTTGATCCCTAGAACAAAACGGTTTCTGGCAGGTTGACGAATTGCGGGTGCAATACGGAAGAGACAGTCCACTGTATTATGCACAGTGTGATAGATTGATTGGAGTTCTGTCTGGGACTCTGTCTGGAGCTTTTCGTTCATATCAGAATCTGGAAGCTTCCCATCAGCTGAACCAGGATTTGCTATCTCCAGCAAACTTTCACAGTTCCTTTGAAGCTGTTCTAGAAGGCTGGAGATCTGATCCTTGAGGTGAGATGAGTCGCGCAGTCTGTAGTCCAACGACAATGAACCGCGTTCATCGGCACCAACATCGGCAGCCCAAACTCGCAACCGCCCTACTTCATCTTCCCAGAGAGACACGGGGACCTGATCATTGGACAGCCCAAGCTGTACGCCTGAGATCCAGTGCCCCAAGTGTCTGATGATAGCGAATATAGTAGGTGATATTGCCTGAGCCATTTCTGATGCTATGGCGACAAACTGCCTGTCCTGAGTTGAGGGAGGCCACAGTGAAGACTGTTGCAAGCGCCAGCCTGACGTGAGCAGCTCATGTATTACAGAGAGCGGGGTATGAGGGTCATTTGTTGCACTGGTTCAGTCTCAGCCTCGCCTGCTATACAGACTGTCTCTTCCTCATTGCTGTTCAAAAGTCCGGCACTCCAAAATGGCTACTGGCATCGAAACAGCCGGTGTCGTTCTGGCCCTTCTGCCAGTGCTGGTACACCAGATCGGCAGCTATGTCGAAGGGCTCCAGATGTTAAATCGCCTAAAATGGGGGGTTTACCGGAGCTGGATGGAACGCAATTACACCGCCTTAGGAAATGAAAGGGCAATCTTGCTCAATACACTGCTAATCGCTGTGGACGGAATCACTTACTATGGATTTGGCGATCAGACCAGCGATTCCCCTGCCGAATACTGGAATAGCCCGGAGGTACGGTACCAGCTGAGGCGGAAGCTTGGAGATACTATTTATGGCCAATTCACGAACACATTGGAAGTGCTACTAGGCCTGCTAGATACGCTAACCGAGAAGTTGGGCTTGAGTGTTGACAGAACTGGAAGAAGTGTTGTGAGTGGAACAAGCATCTTCATAAGGTTTCCAAGCCGCTGACCAAGTTCACGTGCCTGCCAGGTAACCAACATTACCTGCCCCAGAAAAATTAAAAAACAGCTCAAGAAAATCCGACATCTCTCCCTACACACCGTTTACGATGACCTGATCAAACAGATCGCGTATTACAGCGGCCATCTACGGACCTTCGTGGCGCAATGCAATCAGATTCGGGAAATAAATGCAAGAAGGACCGTATTCCAAGAAACGCTACGGCAACACCAAATAGACCGTCAATTAGCAAGCAGCCTGCATAATGCGATCATTAAAGGGAATTATTGGCCATGTCTTTGCAAGCCTCAGCACAGACTTTACTTTATGTTTGACTTCTCGAACTCCCCATGGACATGTGACCCGCCAACCCCACCGGACCCCGAATCTCCAATGATGAAATTAAAGATGGAGGTCCTGACTTTGGAGGACCCTAATCGCTGGCACGAAGTCGAGGCGAAACCAGATGATCATAGGTCCCCGCAGGAACTGTGTCGTGATAGCCATACTACGTCAAGCCAGCAAGGGCTATCAACTGATGAAAACATACCCAACATCAGCTTCCCCCAAGGAGTTTCAGGTACCGAACAAGGAATCGTCATTGGAGCCCAAGACCTGCCGGCCGCAGTTCAGATCACCAATATGTGCGTTTCACTGTCAGCCGTCGGTATCAACGAGAGCAATGAGATGCTTCTTGGGTACGTGACAGACACAAAGCACAGACATAATATATACCGTCTGCGAAGCAATACAGAGAGCGTACGGAACGTATATTCAAAATCTCTTGAAGAGCTATTTGCAATACTGTCCTCCTCGCCTTCTGATATTGCTGCCCAAGATACCTTTACGGTTCAAGATCGTTTGAAAATCGCGGTAGATCTTGCATGTGCAGTTCTTCAGTTTCAGGGGAGCTGGCTCAAAAGAGAGTGGAGAGCTCGAGACATCATGGTCTTCAAAGATCCACGCGTCCCAAAACCTGAACCCGTACCCAAACCCGTACCCAAACCCGTACCCGTACCCTATGTTGAATGGGACCTGAATAATGAGCCCAGTCAGGTACAGACGGGCACACCTTTTATCCATTTGGGGTTCGTACTGGTGGAGCTGTCTCAGTGTCAGACCCTGGAGGCGTTAAAGACAGGGGAAGATCATGATGAAGTGCAGGTTGTGGCTAATCGCAACACGGCGCTCCGCCTTCTACCATTTGTGGAGGCGACAAGCGGGCAAAGCTATCGCCAAGCGACAGAACAATGCTTGAATTGGCCGAATTGTACACTTGACAACGATAATATCTCCAAGGCAGTTCGGTCAATTATTGCGCCTCTAGTGGGATACTGGAGGATGCTCAAAGGGACAGAGCATCCACACTGAGGGAGGTACAGAAGTGAACAAATACTTGAATTCCTTTGGTAAGTATATCCCACTCGACATTGCCACTGCACCATACCAATCGCTAATAGTATAAGCTTTTCTGTGTTTTCTGAAATAGTGAAATAATGCTCTACCAAATTGCACCATCTGTTGTTAACAATTGAATGACCACCTTCTGCATCAGCCCGCTAACAAATCCGGAAGATATGATCAGTAAGGAAGTATGCAAAATAACTTTGAGTTAATGTTCGTAGTTTGGCCCTTGGTTTAAAAACTGTTTCGAACCTCCTGGCAACAACAAGTACGCGACTGTTGCACAACCACACCTTGATCATTCCACGATGAATTTCTTGCCACAAGGAGAACGCCCTTCATCGAATGCGATCCATCCCAAACTGATTTAACTCCCATCATCGAGCAAATAACCATCCTGTCATCGTGAAACAGACGCGTTAGTCTCGCTGCTGCTGTCAAGCATGCATCCTGGATGTACACGCGGCTCTCCTGCAGAACGGTTAGGAGGAGTAAACCATGCCGCGCAATAAACCAAGGATATCAGACAATTGTGTAAGACTCTGTCCCCCGGAATGTGCCCTTCTTAGTGCCGGTTTGCCGATCCACGTACCCATCAAGCTTTATCCCTCCACCCACCTACATGAGGATGCGCCGCCCTGAGCACCCCTTGCGTCCATCAAGGTACACAACGGGATGAACCAGCCAAACATACACCACCATCGACCAAGCCCTTGGATTCCACAAATATGAGCCACGCGGATCATCTATGTTTTGAGTCCATCGCGAGTGGGCGCGGTCCCTTCGTTCTCCTCCCAACCAGGGGAATGTCAGACGTACCTGGGAGCCAAGGACAAATATAAAAATGCCCACGAGGTCAGCTCCGTAGTACACCAGGCGAGCATTCGGATTCATTTTTTGCAGTGGTCTGGTCGTTTTGTCTCATACTTATCCTTCCTCTTCTACTACTTCTATTCTACTTCTATTTGCAATCTTGATCAATTACACTTGGCTATAGATCGATCTACATTCATCTATCACGCCTATCCACACTCTTTTATTTATCTCACTTCAATTCTCGATCTCTTCTCCTTTCCACATACCCACACATCATCATCATCATCATCACAATGGCCCGTCTCAGCCTTTCCATCTTCGTCCTCTGCCTCTTCTTGGCCCTCATGGTCTCGGCCATGCCCGTCAAGCGCGAGAACTCCAGCGGTAACGAGCTGGACGGCACTCTTGCCGAACAGGTCGCAGAACAATCCCTCGAGGTAATTCATATCTCCTCTCTTACTCAACACCTCATCCAGATTCTGACATAACAATCCTATAGTCCGCTAGCGAGATGCTCGACCAAATAACCGGCAAGGACGACGACGACAAGAAGAAGCCCGCCCCCAGCGGCACCACCGACAACAAGCCCTCTCCTACTGGCACCACGCACTCAACCGAGTCCCAGACTGCCCCTAAGACCGAGGAGAAGGTTGCAAACACTGAGCCCTCTGCCACTACCCCTACCTCTACCGAGGAGACCCCCTCAACCTCTAGCTCTGCCCCCTCGACCGCATCCTCCCACGTCGTGAATGACAACCCGCTCTCGAAGATCCCTCTTGTGGGTGACTTGTTGAGCGGTGGTGGGTCTGGATCTCTTACTGGAGGACTCCTGGGTTAAGCCATCCATCCTTCCCATTATGGAATGAGGAGTAGTGTGTTGTCGTTGTCGCTTTCATGTATGTTTGTTTTCTATATGCATGCATGCGTGATGGCAGTTTGATATTTGGACGGAAAGAAAAGGAAGAAAAACGATCTTTGGGATGGACTTGACTGCGTTGAGTTCGTCTTTGTTTACTTTTATTATTTGAAAACAATAGTAATGGTTTAGTGTAGCTAGCTAGATGCATTGAATGGAATCCAACCCATCAAACTAAACTAAATCAATTAAGATGCGTTACGCTAGCTCGGAGTGAATGAATCAGGCACATGGTTTTGTGGAGGGACTCAGGACCATTGCTCAGGATGGTGTAGGCTTCATACATATCTATCTGCCTTACTTGGATCCTGAAGCAGCACAATAAGTGGGAAATCAAAATACAGCAGAGAGGGCAATTAGGAAGGCGTTGCGCAGGGTATAACGGAAAGAAGAATGGACGTCACGAGGTGATCCATCCGAGCAACAGACTGTTAAAGACGTAGTAGTCTGCTAGTTATCCAGCAGAATGAGATGCAGGGTATTCATCGGAGAGATAGTAGAAATAGATCACAGAAGAAGGGAGCTCTTGATCAGAAAAATGGAAACAAGGAAGTTAGCGCATTCGTATTTGTCGATGGATAGCACAATGAATAGTGACGAGCAACAATACCCGGGATAGCACTTCGTTCATCTCCGCACCATTTCAATCAGCCCCAACCACAGACGGTGCCAGAGAGATCCAGTAGAAGTCATCAGTCCCAAGTGACACTAGCTAATATCGCTAGAGTATACACAACCACAGGACTTAGTAGTGTCTCTTGTATGAGTAGGCGAACTGGTCAACTTGGCGCGTTGATACGCTGCAGACATCTCGCATATCCTTAGTAGCCGCCACTCCCAACAACCATTCATCGGGATCTCTTTCATTTCACTTGATGTTGCTCCTTTTCCAGACGGCTTCTTTGTAACGAATCGAGTACATTGATTTCGACATCCCATCATACTCATGCATATGAGGAGGTTCATCTGGTAGAAAGACGCGTACGAGATAAGAGAGAACACTCATATGTGATCTGCCAAGGGAATTTGTCGGGCGGTGGCTTCAGACTCGGTTCGAGACTGTATTGTGTGCAGAGTGGAGTATTGTGCAAGCTATATATCTGTTTGTGAGACCAACCGACTGGAAGCTGCAGTGGTGCAAGCGATGTGATCGTGAAGGGGACGACAGATGTCAAAGCAAAGAGGGTGTCCTCGGGAAGATCCAATAACACCAGCAGTGAGGGTTTCTCAATCTGCAAGCTGAGGACTCAAGAGACGGACACATGCACTGGATAACACTCAGTCCCTCCAGATGTGTGGTAGGGCGAGAACATATAACCAAGCCGGACAATGGCGCGTGAGGAACTCGACTTAGCCGACATAGAGTCATCGGAGGAAGGCCTTTGAAAATCCTCGTGCTCACTCTTAACCACATCGCGCCGAGACCGCAGACCAGATACCAATTGTACGTGCCGCAGTGGTTGTATCCACCTTGTGAGTTCCTCCATGCGCGCGTTTAAACGCAATGGGTGTCATGTCATCATCCAATTTCGTCCAAACTACCAACTGGGCAGAATATTGAGAGCATTGGTTAAGAGAAAGAGCCAGAAGCATGGAACACGACTCTGACAAGGGCGGTATAACCCCCTATATCCAATGATAGCACGCAAGATCAGCTTGCGATTTGGTATCAACCTTGCTAAGGAGACCCGGCTTTGCTTGCAAAGCATAGACTAGGATGGCGGAGTCCGAGATGATGTTCCATTTCAGTGACATGTAGTACAAGCAACCAGGACATTCTTCCTTCTTCGAGAGAGTTTGCGTGCGGAAGTGTCTGTGGATTGGAACAATACGATGTGGTTTGCCCTTCTGCCCAAGCGATATGGATTGGCCATGGTCACCACCGAAGGCTCGTTGGAGGAGGCGGACTTGTTGAATATCCCAGTTTGATCCTGGACGTACTGCTCATGAACGTTTCAAAACGACCCTGGTAAGAACTATCTCGCTCCGTCACGATAGATGCCCATTACAAGTCTGGGATTTGGCGTTGACCGGCCGTACAGGAGCGAAGTAGCGGAGTTGGGGGAAAGAAGAGCGCTATGAGATCTCGTAACAGGGGAGGTGGTGAGTAGGAAAGCGATTGATCTAGAAAATTGATAATGCTTTGCTTATGTTGATAAGATCATCTTAAACTCCGTCCCCAAATGTTATGCGCGACCCATGGCAACTGACACAAGAATCCTAATTCTTGGTCTGGAGACGGAAAAGACGTATGAAAGCCGAGCTGTCAGGAAGCTGGTGTTCGATGACTGTTGCGTCTGTGCGAATTGCCACGGATCGATTATCCCGCATGGTGCTTGAGCACGCGTGGAGGCTCCCCAATTTTGTGCCACTTGAGAAGGGAGAGCAGCCTGATATATCAAAGATGGTGACCTTCGATCCTGGTTGCCTTGTGGGGTGGCTTGTACTCCACGGACCCAACAGTATATGAAAGTCAGAAGATGGATTGCCCATTTGCAACCAGATTCCTCAACTGTCTTATTGACGTACTGGCAATTGTTTTTGTTAGTCATTGACTTGCGGCTTCCGAGTAGAATATACCTTTCTTCATGACCGGTCTTGTCCTCACTTGGAACTTGTTCAGCCAGTTTCTGTCGCTGCTTACAACAAAACCTATATAAAATTGATAAATCGGAGGGAAACCAGGTAATGACTGGAGCCTCGGGCTCATTTCCCAGAGTATGTTGTGGTCAAATACACGCAGACTCGCGCCGCGCACATCACATTCAACCTCAGTCCACAAGAGGCGCAAGTGGCCTTGTTCGTGGTATATAGCTCCTAACCAGCGGTATGTGACGCTCTGCTCATAATCACGTTCTTCGTGATACGTAAAGGTGATGTCCTCTGTATGTGACCGAGTCCTACTACCAGGCGCATGGAATCCTTTTCGAACCGCCTTTTATAGCTAATAGATCGGTTAGGTATGTATATGTGCAAAGTCAGCGGACCACTTCAGCGCTGTAGACGTCGTCCCTATGCTCAGTCCCGAAGCTCGTGTTACGACCTGTGTCGCCGTACCTCGAACTAGGTTTCCACTAGTGCAGAGACGAACCTCTTGACTGACAAGCCTTTGATTATATTGCGTCTTGAAATCAATGATCTGACGGGACATACCGCATTGTAAATCACTGATGGAGGTTTAAGGGGCTGACTGATAGGTGAACTTTAGCATTGCCATAGATACAGCCTTCCACATTGGCTATCTTTCTTTTCCCCGGACAAGGCTGTATTGTCTCTGGGAATAAAGCCTTTCCCCCAGTCATAGGCGGAGACAGCGCTGGGATGACAATGGGAGATCTCTAGTTCCCCATATGGGGAGGCGACTGCGCGAAACCGAACCGAATCCGCGCTGACTGCCCATGAGATAGCTTTCAGCTCCTCATAAGAGTTATTCAGATATCAGGATTGTATGGGTGTGCCGGACCGGAAGGTTGGAGAGGCGTGAGAGCACAATGCGATAGCCTGACAAAAATGGTACCATCTTTTGCTATCAATCATCCGATCATCCGTCCTTATTCAAGGCTGTGTTCAACCCAGACACTGCACACACCGGTGGAAGGCATACGGGAGGCGAGCGCGATTATGGTCGCTTGTTTGGGCCCACTCTTTCTGTTGCCAATGGCGATCTTTGCATAAGCAGTTGCCATGAGGACTGACAAGAGGCGTAACCTAATTCCAGTGGACATGGTGAATGGGTCCTCCGCCTAGCGAGACAAAAGCCTTTGAATGACATCATTGTCATAAAGAAATGCACTAGCTTTGGTACCAATGTCGATGCGGAGATTCCTTAGTGTATACGCATCCGAAATGGATCCTGTCCGAGGCGGATTTCCAGAGTGTACTTAATTCATCCCACAGGTCGACAACCTCATCGATAAGTTGACCTGCGACGGTGATATGAGAAAAGAGCTTAGGTCCCGACTGTTTTACTGCCCTCATGAATAGCTATCCTCTTTGTTATGCATAACGATAATTGCGTCGGGAGGGTGAATCTGAACCTTCGGACGACAGCGAATCTCTACCATCATATATTATATTATATGGGCGGGTATGGTGACATGAAATGAGAAACTCAATGTCCAGTAAGCTCCATTTCACTAGAGTTCTCGCCGTCAATGGCACGTCCGGATAAGGCGTTTGGTTGGAGTGAGATTTCGGTTCGGTCTCACCACTGCCGGTAGACAGGAAGATCTAGTTGGAGTTGAATAGAGACTGCTGAACCTGATTGTTTTCCCGCTGCTTGAAGAGCCCGGAACAATCATTGGCTCGCTTGGTAACGTCTTCAAACATATGGTTAGTCGGAACATAACAGCAGAAGCTATTCATTTCATAGGAGCACCTACCTTGTTCTCGACACCAGACCGGTCTGATACAGCACTCCCAAGGTTATGATCGTCCAGATAATAAGCAAGGTCGAAGTACAGAGAGTTTTGAAGCCTCGGGGTTTTCCAAATACATTGCATCTTAGCCGGCGAGCATTTATCTGTAGAGATTGTACGCTTCATGACATGCGATATCCACCGCCTTCGGCTGGTATATAACCAGGGTAGAGTATACCGAAGAAGAGGGTTTGAAGCCGGATGCATGTCCCCACTGAAGCCCTTCGTATTCATTTTGTCTAGCGAAGACGCCATGCAAAGGCCACGGTAGCGACATGCCCGAAAGGTGATGGAGGGGGTTGTTTCTGCGCTTGTTATGACCAATGAGTGGATCTGGAACGCCTTCGCAGGCGCAGGACTTGGTTTTCGATCCTTGCATGTGCTGTGCGATGCAGGATCTTTGTAGCTTTGGCTATTTTGATCGTAAGATGAGTCCCCTGTTTGCGAAGTCTGTTGGAGGGGTTTGGGGTTCCAGCCACTTAATATCAAGGTATTTTGTATGACTGATTTCGACATGGTTGATGTGTTTTTGTAGGCTCGGGAGCAGTCACGAAGACTGACCACGAGTCATCCGGTTCTCGTGTGCTCTCGGTTCCTGCTGAGACACGGGCATAGAAGTCCTATGATGGACTATTAATCTTTCTTCGACGGATTGGAGGCGGATGGCTTCGAACATCTCCGTGGCTGCGGATACGGCAACGCATAAGGCTATCTCCAGATAGCGTGGTGTAGATAATTCGAAGTGTATGGCCACTAAGCGCTTTATCAATAGCTTCTCATGAGACCAACCATCGAGACGACGATTTATCCGTTATATAGAAGCTGGAAGAGACAGGTACGCGCAGCACGGCTTTCCAGCTAGTAGCGAAGCCTTGGGTTTGTGGGATTTTCGGATGTTCGTTTTATTAATTTGTACACAAAGGGCCTCGCACTGGTAGCCATTGGGACCATGGCATGGAACCCGGAATCGCAGAAGCAAAATGCGATCTGCGAAAAGACAGTGAATTCCTGAAACGAAGCGTCGCGTGCCGTAAGTGAGCTTTGATGGAATTATAGATCTCTTGTTCAAGCAAAGGGATGAAGAACGTATGGCACTGACACCAATCCGATGCTGCTTAGGTAGGGTATATACTGTTGTTGAACGGACATGATCAGAATCAATGATCAGAATCAATGGAAGCGGCTGGATCATAGGTCAGAAAGCTCATGCGAGCGATAATGAGGATGGTTGAACCTTGACCCTTTGTGCTATATATGCGATGTTTGGTGATTTGGCTAAGTGAAGTCAAAGTTGATCGAGCTGGACATATCGGCGGTGCATCGAGGAGGCCTCGGGAACTCCACTCGTAAGTCAAGCTGAGCTAATGAAAAGCAGAGTCACAAGTGAAAGAATAGATGCGGGTTGCAGCATGCCGTATTGGTGTGACGCTGGTGTATAGAAGGGGGACATCAACGACAATATGAGATTCTCGAAATAAACCTCTTAGGATGACAACACAAGGGTTAGGGTCCAACCAGAATAGTATCGGGATTGTGGACTAGCATGTTCCCCCCTTGCTCTTATTGTTACCACAGGATGTCAGAAAAATTGGACAAGAAGACTGTTGTTGCGAAGTTGTTGCACGCACTATAGGCTGATAGATCAGGTCTGTGGCACGTTTCCGGTGACATGAGTGAGGCAATAGGTTGCTTCAGGGACATGAACTGGATGAAATAATAAAGTTCCCAGAGATTCAGTGCTTCCATCTCCATACACCGATGACCTGGCAAACGTCTTGTCCAATTGTGCTCAGCGAAAGGGGCCGATTCGATAATGTATTTGCAGCAGGAAATGAACTGTTGTCGGCAAGACGACATTTCATGGCCCCCTGGTCTATTCCCATCTACCCTGAGAAAGGGTCTCGAAAGGACCATCTGGATCTTCTCTTCATTCGCTCTCAATCAACACGTAGCGCAGGCCGCCATGGTTCCCAGGCCTAACAGGAACCGTCCATGAAATTTGGGAATGGCAAGATGCTCGAAAGCCTATACCAGGATCTCATTGGCATCCTGCGGGTCACTGAAGGAGAACCAGGTTGTATGAGGATCGCCCCGGCACAGGGCAACAACTGATCAGGATTGCTCGATTGTCACTGCTACTTGGCCGAAGGTGATAGCAGAGGTGATCGCTCTGCGATTGATATCTTAGACCTACAGAGCCTCGTTAATCGCGCAACCTATGTAAAAGAGAGAGGCTGTGACTTACTGAGCAGGAAGGTCCGAAGATTGTATTGAATACTTTGGATTCTGGAAACTGATGGATGGAGCCTATAGGAAGGTCAATAATTTTGTATGTAAAAGCCATTATGCGTCATGTTTTCACCTTTTTAGCAGGTTATATATATGCTCCCAGCATCGTGGGGGATACCAGGCTTCACCGGGCGACAGCACCCAAGAATTTCTTTCATGGACAAAGTAGGGGAACATGGAATACTCTACAGAGCCCACAATATACTGTCGAAAGATTGGTGCTCCAGTTCCTCAGACCTGAAGTGGGTACACCATGATGATACATTGAAGGTCTCTTCTATCTCCTTGAGTGTGCGCTTAGTAGAGAAGATGGGACGAATGAATGGCAGCTCCAACTGTCCGCGAGGGGGTTGATATATATATACGAGAGGAGAGAGAGAGAAGAATCCTGGAGATCAAGGAACAAACAAGATGGGCGGAAGGATGGGGATATATAGCTCCCGAAAGTGCATTTCTAATAACCAGGAGGCAAATAGACATGAGAATGATATTCAGAATCTAGACCGCACGAAGTCAAAGGGGTCAGGGTGAGGCCGCCAGTAAGGCCACCGCGCATTATTCCATGTACGCAGCGTTGTTCCACAGTCTTCATGTAGGATTCCAAAGCCACAACCGGTGATTGTGGCCCAACGACAAGCCCGCCTACTCAGGTAACATGCCAAACTAGGTGCATGCCTATCTACAGCCGCCTGGAGATATTCTCATCTAATCCTGGCCTGTACCCAGACGGGATGTTGTTTGCGCCTGCAGCCGTCCTGGGATTTAGCTTTCCGCGCTCATACTTCAATGCAACCTACCAGGATTGCGAACAACGCAGATAGATGCTTGTCACTTTGTTACTATACTTTCAGCTGGATTATGAGCTCTTGTTCTGGTTCGCTCGCTGTTGGCCCTCATATAGACCAGTGTAGTATCCAGCATAGTACCATGCCATCATGAGGTTTTTGAGTCCCTCATCTTGCACTTAGAGAGAGTCAGATTTCTCCACAGCAAAAAAGGGTCAGAGCGCATCTTACCTTGGGATAGGGTGGCATGAGACATAGGAGGTGCTCCTACGGCACTTGGCCCAGCCGTTTGATCGGTGACATGGGCACCCTGTCCAGAAGGCTGTTCCGGCCCTTCCGCGGCCTGAAATGAAGTCAGTCCAGTAGGGTTAACCCGACAAACGGAGCAACTCACTTGCGACGGTGTGGCCTGTGGCACCTGCTGAGGTTCCGCTGGAGTTGTTGCATTGGCAGCAATATCGGCGTCGACGTCAGCATCCATGCGGTCGGCCGATTCGTCCAACGGCTGCTCATCTTGCTCCATCTCAGCTTTTTCAGCAGCCTCTGCTTCTCTCAGGACATCTTCAACATTCTCCCCCTTCGCATGGATGCTGTGATAGAGCTGTTGTTGTTCTGGTCAGCGAGCGGATCACGTGCCGGGAAGGAAGCCCATACTTTGTATTCCTCGACAGCCTCATCCCAGCTCTGGACGAGGGCCGAATCATCCCAGATCTCTTCCTGAGTAAGGGGTTTATTCGCCTTGGCCGATTTCCCCATGACCCTGGTAAATGCGCGCAAACAAACGGGCGTGTGAGATGGTTGGGTTGCGGAGAAACAAGAGCTTAGAGTTGGAGTCGCGGCGAGGCCCCGTCGGCCGGGCTGGATTGCATTCACCGCTTGGCGCCCGAAAAATTGCGAGCAGAAAAAAAGTTTCCCGCACCTTTGCGATCCTCCGATTGTAGTCCCCCAGGAACCGCCTGCAATTATCCCCAAAAATCACAGCAGGATGGCCCCCGACAAGAAGGACAAGAAGCGCAAGGGTATGTATTGTTACACAGTTTGAGAGATTTTCATTTTCAACCCGTTGGTGCGCCTACTAACGCTGCTCAGCTGCCGCTGCCACTGCCGCCGATTCGCCCGCAAAGAAGACCAAGAAGGTCGAGGCCAAGCCTGCCGAATCCCCCAAGGACGCCCCCAAGCCTATCCTCAAGAAGGCCAACCAAAAAGAGGCGGCTACAAAGACCGATGGCGCTTCGAAGACCAAGGCCAATGGCCAGCCCGCCAGACAGATCAAGCCTCGCAAGCGCGCAGCCGATTTCCTGAGCGACAACGAGAACAGTGAGTCCGAGGCGGAGGTTGCTGAGCCCAAGGCCGCGAAGGAGGAGAAGCCTACCACCAAGAAGTCGAAGAAGGAGGACGGATCTGCTGCTCCCGTGACGAAATCCAAGCCCGCCAAAGCCAACACCAAGGCCAAGAAGGCAGAGCCTGTCGTTGAAGAATCTGAAGAAGACGAGTCCGCCGCCTCGGAGGCTAGCCAGAGTGAGGATGAGGAGGATGACCGCACAGCTGCCCTCATCAGGGGCTTCGAGAGCAGTGGTGACGAGGATGAGTCTGGCGATGAAGGCTTCAACCCCGACCAGCCGGTGCCTCAGATTCCCGACTCGAAGAAGGCCAAGCGCAAGATCTTGAAGAAGCAGAAGGAGAATGCCGGTCACGTTGAGGAGCCTGGAACGGTTTACGTTGGGTAAGTTGAACCATGAGGATGCTCGTTTGTGACTACTATTAACACGCTATGCTACAGACGCATTCCCCACGGTTTCTACGAGCACCAGATGCGCGCCTACTTCAGCCAGTTCGGTGAAATCACTCGCCTGCGTCTTTCCCGTAACCGTATCACCGGTCGCTCCAAGCACTATGCTTTCATCGAGTTCGCCCATACCTCTGTCGCTAAGATTGTTGCTGCCACCATGGACAACTACCTCATGTACGGTCACATCCTGAAGTGCAAATACGTGTCCCCCGAACAGCTCCACCCGGAGGTCTGGAAGGGCGCCAACAGACGGTTCAAGCGCACTCCCTGGAACCGCATCGAGAAGAAGCGTCTTGACAAGGGCAAGACGAGAGAGCAGTGGACGGAGCGCATCGAGAGGGAGCAGAAGAGACGTCTCGCCAAGGCTGAGAAGCTCAAGGCTATCATGGGCTACGACCTCGACATCCCGCAACTGAAGAGCGTGGATGAGGTTCCTGTCCAGGAGGCCAAGGCCATCGAAGCCTCTGAGCCCGCTGCTGAAGAACCCGCCAAGGCCATTGAGGCTGCCCCGGTTGAGGAACCCAAGGCTGAGAAGCCCGCTGAAGATACCCCTAAGAAGACCAACAAGAAGACTAAGAAGGCTGCCCAGTCCCCTGCTGCGCAGGAGACTCCAAAGTCGGCAGAGAAGTCTACCCCGAAGAAGACCACCGAAGAAACTGCTTCCCCGGCCGCCCAGAAGGCCAAGAAGGTCCAGAAGAAGACCAAGGCCAAGTCTAAGGCTTGAGGGGATTGGGGGTTTATATACTACTTTTGTATTTCTTATGGCATTCAACAAGAATTACCCGGAGTTCAATCGATTGTACATGAAAAATTAGGGACATTATTTTCGCTTCAACAAGCTATTCTTGATTCATAATTCTGTCCAGTAAACCTCTCCCATAACCACCCATTTTCAGTACTGTAAATTGTCAACATGCCTCAGGCACTACTACCCGCAACACCATAGAAAACCAAAGTCACATGACACCTACCACGACCCACAGCTCCACTCCCTGACTAATCGGCTATAAAAAAACCCACGCACCGAATCTGAATTTCTTCTCTTTTCCCTTTCTCTTCCCAACTCCTCGCTCAAAGAATCGCATTCAAAGCTCACACACAGAGAGCAGTCTTCACGACTCTCTCTTTCCCCCCTCAGCTTTGGGAGAAAGTCCCCGGACATCCTGACTGTCTAAACGTCCTCTTGTAGGGCCCAGTCAGGCAATGCGGAAACGCGCCGCCATAGAAGCAATTCGATAGCGGCTTATACGCCCTATTCCCCTCCTAGTGTTTGTCTCTGTACCCGATCACTTGTCACTTTATGGTGGCTTGTGGGTAACAATGGTTGGTGCAGGACAGTGCTGGAGAGGGGGGTTTTATTTGGGTTGCCTTTCGTCGTGTTTGGATAGTCATGCGATTGCCCGTCCTATATGTTTCTTCGAACCGACCTCCTACGTCTGAAAATATGTCGGGGAGCGTTAGTCGGGAAATATTTAGGGGGTAACTCAATGGGGCTCATTCTTGAGGCGAGGAGTTCAATTTCTTTTTCTTTTTCTACGAGTCTGTAGCTTATGGAAAGCGGTGATTGTGGGCCCTTGGTGATTCGGTTCATCTTTTGGCTTTCGTCGCAGATGCTCTGTCGAAGGAGCCGGACTCTACTACTACTCCTACTTTCCATTTTCATTCTTGATGATGTTTTGATTTTGTTCGTGTGATGATATACCAATCATAGAGTCAAGCCCTGAAACCCCTACTACGGTATGGGGTCGTTGACGATAAACGATTGTTTTTTTATCTGATGAACAAATACATTTCATATTCATTATTGATACCCTCATCGCATCATTATTTCATAAGTCAAAAAAATATGAATCAATTATCTTCCAAAAGAACCATCTTATTTTTACACATCCAACTCCACGTAGCTCAAAACATCCATGCATCCATTAGCATAGCATAGCATACATACACATAACTTCATTGAGTCTTCTTCGCAGCAGGCGCAGCAGCAGCAGTAGCCCTCTGCAACAAAACAGCCGTCACCACCTCCGCCATCGTCGTAATCGCCGTCGCACAAACATTACTCCAAATCTGGATGCTCACCGACCCCATCGGCGCACGGGGGAACGACAGCACCCACGCCACGTAGTAAGGAAGCCAGCCCTCCGGCAGATGGAAGACAGGCGTTTTCGAGTACCAGAACTGCAGGAAGAACTTGAGACCAGATGTACCGAACCAGCGAACTATTTTGACGCCCCAGTCGAAAGAGGTTTTCTGCGAACTGAGTTGTTTGTCTGTTGAACCCGCTTTTGTTAGCTCACTCTTTCTCTTCAACTAGCCATTTCTCCCCAACTCAACTCCCCCAAGCCCCATATATATAGACCGTAACTGTGATCGGAAATCAAACATACTTATCGCCTCATATTCCTCCATAGTCTTATCATGCTTCCGTCGGAGTTTCGCCCATTTCGCAAACTCATCCTGTGAGCTGGTGTTGTTCATGTCCCGCTTCAGCTGGACGACCTCGCGCTTAAGTCGGTTTTGTTCTCTGTATTTCTTCGACGTGGAGGTCGGGACCTTTAGGTAGAGGAGCCATAGCTAGAAAGTACACATCAGCCTTACTTCAACTCTGGCATTTGGTGGGCGAGAGAACAGCTCAAGACATAACAGCTAAACGGCCGCCACCACCCAGCAAGCTCCGAGACAAAACATACCAAATTATCAATCGTGCTAGCGCCAATGGTATTAACCAAATAGATGGCGACATGGACGAAGAAAACCGACCACAAAAGCGACAGCATGATGGGCTAGACGTCGGCTGCGATCAATTGACGGAGGGGAGGTAGGAGGGAAAGAGAACAAGGAATAGATCGAATTGGTTCCCGGAGATGTGGGCGGAAAAGAGACCACGAAGCCCGACCGACTTGCGCGGAGAGTGGTGCGTGCGACCTGCCTCAGACGAGCAAGTTACCTAAAGCAAGCTCGGGGAAGTTCTAACAATGAGCGAGCAGACAAAGAAAGAGAGAAAGGCTGAGGCTGAAAGAGAAAAGACATCCATGAATGAATGGAGTGAGAACAGCAAATGACGTTGTCACGTTTGTTTCCCGCCCGTCGGCCGCGGCGCGGCAACTTTCATTTTCCCCCCAGAGCTTTAAACCATGTCCCTTTCCAACATTAACATAACGTCCGCTATTACTACGATTCGTACGCCATGCTGCAAGGCGGGTGATTCTCAATGTCTACTCCTCCGGACGGAAATGCTGCTTACAATGACCTCGCTCGAATATTCTCCGCTAGACGCAAAGATAACAACGTCCTAGAGATCGAGATACTCCCGCCTGGTCTTGGTCCACTGCTACAAGATGGGAACTCGGTCGGAATTACGAAGAAATACCTGGTTCAGGCGTTCGTAACGGCTAGAAGAATATTCTTCGATGCATCAAGCGAGCCGTTCTATTTTTCCGATGCCGGTGGTCATGAAGACGAGCGCAAAGCCCCGGACAACGAATCCCTGCTACAGAAACGAAGAGACGATGTGCTAAATGCCAGCGAAGTCATCCTCCTCTTTGATTGCGAACACCTGACGGCATGCAGCTGGCGCAAACGACGTCTGGCTGCCCTAAGTCAGCGCGCTGGCTCGGCGGACGCCGGCTATACTTGTCGGGACATGCTCACTCGTGAATTGGACACGGAGATGTCTCTATTGACCACCTACATTTGCTCTCCACTGCATCGTCATACGAAATCTCCGACATTGTATAACCACCGACTATGGGTATTGAGGCAGATGCTTTTTGACGGCGGTGAAAGGTTGACAAGGCGAGAAGATGACAGGGAGACCGTGTCAAACCAGGAGGTGCTAAAGAAGGAACTTTCCGTTGTTCTCCGATCCGGAGAGCTACACCCAAAAAATTACTACGGCTTCACTTATATAAGACAGCTTCTCGACCTCATATCGAGCTGTGATGATGATCAAGGGGACGTTTCTGCGCGTCTAGCTGCCTTGCTCATACCAGAAGTGCTGGACTGGTGTATCGCACACCCCAGTGACATTTCCGGCTGGATGTTCACTTTGCGCCTACTAGACTGGGCCCGTGATGAAAAGACCAAAGCAGACAGTATTGACAGGGTATTGCGTTTCGCATTGAATGTTGGTTGGGAAGGCGAGAGCATCTGGACGTTTGTGGATTTGGCGACAAAGATGATAGGCGTAGGAGCCTCAGAAAAGGCCCAATGCAGGACGCCGTCGAATGCATTAGCATACCTGCCTTTGTCTGAAGTTGGGGCTGCAGACGGGTGGAAGGCCTGCTTGGAAAGAGCAAGAGCTGCTTGGGTTGCTGGTCAGCAGGCGGGTAGCCGTATAGGTGACGGCAGCCCGAGGTAGATGTAGGGTAGACACTATGTATTATATATCACAGGTTTGTTGCACCATTAGTATGCGCCATCTTTATGCAAACTTAAAACGCTGCTTGATAGAACGCCTCGCTAAATGCCATTGTCTTGTCACATGTATCTGCAACGTACACCCATCTGATAAAGCCAGCCAAGTCAGATTGCAGGTCCTAAAATCGTCCCAATATCAACCATATCCAGTCTGGGCGCCCAGAGAACAGCCTTCCGAATGGACTTATACAAGTTGGTAGAATGCATAACCAAAATCGTAGACGAGGGCTATGCGATATCTGACGATCGTAGGACGTTCCGGGCTGACTTATACAACGTGGGCGAATACAGAGAATCATTACTTCTTCTTGGCTGCTGCAAGTGCTTCAGCTTCTTTCCGCTGATCGGCTAAAAAGAAGATAGAGAGAGTCAGTAAGATAGTGATCAAAAAGTGGCACAAAATCAGCAGACCAGAGCCTACATACCCAACGCTTGTTTCGCTCTCATCTTATCAGCATCGTTCTCCTTTTTGCCCAGTATACCGCCCTTGCCCACCGCTTTCTTTTGGCTCTACGCAGCAGAAGTTTGTCAGTAATCAAGGGGAAATTGCTGATTCAAGCAGAAATCTACCTTGAGCAGCTCCTGTTTCTTTTTTTCGTTCTTCGCGCGAGACTGATCTCTCTGGTTACCACGGGCCATTGTTGGTAGTTCACGTACGACAAGTGAGTTGTTGGGCTCTTTTTCGTTATATACACGCCTCCCTATATAAGGTAGTATAATGAGGGGGATCGAGAAGAGTATCGAAGGGTGCTTGCTGTTCGCATATGCAGAGTTTCGGGCATCGAAGGTTTTTCCGCCTCAGAAGGCCGCCGAGCCGCCGCCACCGGAATATCCTATTCAGGTGGCACCCGCTTGACTGCCGTTTTGAGTTGGACTGCTACCCCTTGAGCCAGAGTAAATGATCTTGTAAGAACTCATTGGACAACATATAGAATCCTAAGCCATTATTCCTGGCTTGCCCGTTTTTTCGCCGGATAGGCGCCTTGTACTTCTTCTTACACATGATTGCTTTCTGTCAGTCGCCAAGCCGCTCGACCTCCAACAGTATCTCTACTGCATCTCGTTCAGGTTCACACATGCCCCTCAATATCCCGAGTGACGCTAGAGTCTCTGTGTGAAAGGGGCCTAGCAATACTTCCATCTTGTTTGTAGCCTTTGCTATCAATTGTATTGCCTTGTCTTCTTTGCCTTGGCGATACCAGGATAGGGCCGTGAATTTCAGAGTGTAAGGATGATCTGGATTGAACACACGATTGGCGGTTTTGATGAGTTCCTCGTCCAACTGTTTAACCTTTTCAATATCGCCCATTGCCCAATATATCCCACATAGTTGCGACTTCCTGTCGAGTGTGTCAAAGTGAGTAGGTCCATACGTTTTTGACTCATCTTCCAGAAGCCGCAAGCACAACTCCTCGGCGTTTTGCCACTCTTTGAGATCTTGGTAGATATTCATCAGTGTATGTCTGCAAGCCCTTGTCGTCGAATAATCCTGGCCCAAGTTCTTTTCACACATCTGAAGCGTCTTGAAAGCCAGCTCTTTTCCTTCTTGTAGCTTGCCCAGCCCGCGATAAATTGCTGATAGATTTTCTGCAACGCCCAGAGTCCAGACGTGGTCTGGACCAAGATTCTCATTGTGCCACTTCCAATCTATAAGTTTGAAAGGTTCGGCCTTTTCATACTCATCCATGTCATAGTAGAGTGTCGCTAAATGGCCAATGGCATTTATCGATTCCTCATGCTGTTCTCCGTACACGGACTTGGCTGTTTTGAGCACGTCTTGAAAGAGGAGTTCTGCTTCCTCATACCGATACTGTTGTCTCCAGATAGATGCTAGAGAAAGCATACTTCCCAGGGTCAAAGTGTGGTCGGGCCCATGAAGCCGTTTGTAGCTCGTAACAAGAAATGAATCTAGTTCCTCGGCTTCGGCAAGTCGATTTTGATTTGCGTATGTTGAGGAGAGACCTGCAATGCTCTCCAATGTTTCTGGATGTTCTATACCAAATTCTCTCTTATTCTCTTCCACGATGAGGAGATCCAGCTTCTCTGCCTCATCGTCACGACCCTGCGACCACAAATAGTATGCTATTCCTTCTTGAAGATAGAGCCTCCTTCGCAGCAGCTTCCCATGCAGCTCCGGTATGAATTTGAGGACTGATACGGCATGAGGCAAATAATCAGCGCAGATAGCCCAGTTCTCGTACTGAGCGTTCGGGTAGACTTCAGCGAGAGTATCCATGGCTTGAATTGCTCTTTCGTCGAAGGTGTGCTCAATGATTAGCCATTTCCGCACAGTAAGCTGTACGAGCCGGTGGATAGAGAAGTTTTGGCCCTTTCCTGTTGCTATTATAAGCGAGAACGCCTTAAGTGTACCCAGCGCTTTTGTCAGGTCAAGCGGCCCGACAACCTTCTGTTCCATCAAGCTTGATGGGATGTTGTGCTGGTCAAGGAAAGCAACAAAGGAAAGAGCCTCGATGGCGTTCGGCTCCTTTGTATTGATATGATCCAGAGAAACGATCAGAGTGGTAGCAAGAGCATTAGGGGTTTCGCTGTCTCTTCCTAATGTCTCGAAGGGCTCGCACAGTAAACTCATTTTGGTTTCATCGCTGTCATTATGCAGCTTGATGTATTCATTCACAGTGAGCACATTTTCTTCCATGAATGAAGCGGCTTGCATAATTGCCAACGGTAAATAGTCGAGCATCTCCGCGAGCTCATCCATGTCCGACTCTGTCGGATAATTGCCACTCAAAGCAGATTTGATCAAGCATCTCGACTCTTCTTTGGTCATAGTATCCACCTCGAGCATGTTTCGGCCAATACCCCTAACGAATTTGACACCAGCAGCTCGGTTACGGGTCGTAATGAGAATAGAGCCATATGGACTGTCGGGAAGGAACTGGACGATGGAAGAATCTTCTTGCAGATGCTTATCTGAGGTCGAGGTTTTTTGTCCTTGACGCCCATCCGACGTGAAGAATGAGGCTTCGTCAGCGTTATCGATAATCAGCAACCAGCGTTTACACTGCTTTTCTAGCCATTGCTTGACAAGCATGAGGTCTTGTGGTTTATCTTCTGGACTCTCAATTTCGCATTCCTTAATCAGATGATAATAACTTTCTTGGAACCGGCTGATACTGTTTGCGTGGATCCAGAACACCGACGCGTCGGGGTGGGCTTCATGGACTTGATGCGCCAGCTCAATGGCTATCTGGGTTTTACTTGTTGTTTTATCAGTCAAAAGCTTCCTGGTAGAAACCGCAAAACCTACCCGACACCTCCGAGACCATACAAGGCTACTCTCGAATGAACCTTTCCGAGTGGCATGATACGCTCCATAACCTGACTTAATGTGTGCTCGCGGCCGACAAACCCGGGATTACGTGTATAAGGTATCATCCCTGTCCGGTTGGTGTAAGCCGGTTTCCAGTATTTCATATATGTAGTAATGCATAGGACCTACAGAAGCAAGGGTCGGCTTCATCGGCCACGAGGGTGGACTCTGATTCATCAACGCAACTGGTTAACTGGCGCGTCTCCGTCCCTGAGTTTGCCATTTCGACAATTAGCGAAGACACATATTGATATCGATCGTCTTTGTCGCAGTGAAATCTGCAAATCTCTTCATGGTCGGCATTCAATGCGATCGCTTTCTCACGGGAGTCAGGCAAGCCAAGAACAGCAGAATCTTTTTCCACAACCTAATTTGAGCAGTGTGTCTTGTTAGTGCCAACATCTAGTCAAGTCCTGGAATACGTACTATGCCGATGCTCTTGAATGGTAGGGTCTCATAAAAGCTCAGATACTTGTAGTTTTCAAGAAGCTTGTCAAAGTTCGCAGACAGCTCCAGGGCGTAAAGGCTGCCTTTTGAAAGGGCCTTCAGTAGGGTATTGCTCGCTGTTCCTAGTAGAGCCCTCACGAACTTTGCAGCCACGCCTCCCACACGTGCCAGGTGCGTCCCTCGATGTGGCGTACCGAAGAAAACGATTCCGAAGGTCGAGGTGCATATCGAGCCATACGTTGCGCTGAGTTTGGCTTGTACAAGCGCCTGGCATTGAACCATAAGAGACAGCCCAGAAACAACTTCTAGCTGAGAAGCTTCATACCTCTTTGACAACAATCCCTCCCAGGCTATGGGCAATGAAAAGCAGGGGTCGATGTTCACACTTCTGCAGGCAATGTAAGCTTCTTTGACAGATCCAGTGGTACAGTTGCTGTTGATTACCTCTCTTTCCAGTCTTAAGCGGTCAAGGAGGACATGTGCCTGCTCTCGCACGCCAGCTGCGGATGACTGGATTGCAACTTTAGAGTTGTAACTGAAGAGGAAAATCCTGGCTCGTGGCAGTTGCTTGGGAAGAAAATCCCTGAGCCATAGCTTCCCATTCGACTCCCAGGTCTTCTCGGCATGATTTTTCTTGCTTTTGGGGTTGAGCCCATGAACGGCGACAATGCTACTGTCGGTTAGCAAGCAGACATAGTGCCGGTGAAATGACTTACTCGATATTGGGATCTGCGCCGGCGGACAATATACGCAAATAATACTCGCCCTAGAATGCTATTAAACCCTTTTCTATCGGCATGCGAACAAAGACCCTACCGTCATGATATCAATCCTGCTCTTTCACTGGGCTTGAATTACTACCAACCCTTTCTGGGTGGTGAATTGTTGCGTTGCCCTTCATAATTCGGAATGACCCTTAAGGCTCGGGGCCTCCCCTCATTAAGGCCGTTGCGACCTTCCTTAACTAATCAATGCGAGCTGCTGCGCCGCGTATGTTCAGCTTGTCAAGGGGGTACCGTGGGCGGCTGTGTTGCCAGCATGATTGGACAAAGACATGTAGCGTCCAACATCCCTGTAGATCTACTCTTTTAGCACGTTGCATGTATGAGCAACGGGGCAGAACACTTAACACTTACTGTAGGTCTTTCGAGCCCCCCGCCCCCACAAGGCTCCTGAATATTTGATCTATAGATAATCTCCAAAATTATAGTAATTGTAAATTTTGCAGAGGAGGGTGGGTGTAGATGCTCAAAAGTATGGCAGAGATGCAATCGAATAGGAAGGTAGGACTAAGTGGGAGGAAAGCACTAATCTAGTATTAGCGTCGTTTTGGAGAGGACGGCTGCAACTAAACACCCTAAACACCGACCACTCCATCCGACGTATTTGTCTATAGGCCGAGATACCCGGAGCGGGCGCAGTCAGGCTACAATTGTTCTCGTCGCAAGCGCTTACACAGTGCATTTCTATAAATATTGTGGGAAGTACTGGTGGCAACCGAACTGGTAACACCTCGGCGCTAGTCTTGCTCTGCCACGCTTGAACACAGGCATTTCCCGTCCTTGTCTATTAGTAGATAGTATAGTAGCACCACCAAATCTGTGAAGCGGTGGATGCTAAAAGAGCATTTTTTGGTGGGCTGAACCTGACATCCTACTCACTTCTCTGGTTCAGCTTCTATCTTTATTCTTCGATATGACTGGGTATGCGAAACGATGGCTAATCTTGAGTGGAGGATCCTAAGCGCTCTGTATTCGTGTAGGCTTTTGACTCGGGAGGGATCCATCAGGAAGTCCAAGGAGAGAGAAACACTGATCGAGTCAGGGACCTGGAAAAGGGCAAATGCCGCCGAAGTAGGTAACGAGTGTTTCTAAGGGCCAGAATGAATGGCTATTGTTCATTCAAAATCGTGTCGAAAGTGTTTCAGCCTCAGGTTCGCGCCTATTGTGTCTATTCTTGTCTTTGTTGGGCATTTCAGTCCCGCTTGACCAGAACACTGTCCGGCATTTGTAGATCTGACAGATAATAACTTCCTCTGGCTGTTCTTCATCCTCTCGTTAACTCTTTGGGTCCGCGTTCTTTCTTTAACTCGCGAGTTGACCTCGTGGTTCTTTCTTTCCTTGCTCTTAACTCATATCAATTAGCACTTTACTGCTGGTCAGTCCCTACTACTCATTCCTTTCAATCTACAAGTTTTTGTTGCAGAGTATAAAGGTGCATCACAATCAGTACGGATATCCAACTCGATAATTTCTTAAGATACAATCACCTATTTTCATACTGGTCACAAAAAGTTCAAGCTTTCGGGCAGCTGAGCCGCTGATCTAAACACCAAAATCATGATGGCTTCGTTGAAAGAATCCCTGGCTGGCCCAGGATACGTGATTCTCAACGCCATTCGTGTCATCAACATCATTGTGTTTCTGGACATCATTGCCGCCAGCGTGGTCATGCTGGTCAAGATTGACTTGTTGACAGCGTTTTTCTTTTTTGAGGCTGTCTCCCACGTCGCCACAGCAGGCGTTAGTAGTAAGTAGCCTTTGCTCCAGATACTGTACTAGATGGCTAACAATTTGACATAACAGTATTCCTCATCATCTCCGAGCTTCCCTTTCTCCGCGGTTACTTCGACCGCAACTGGCCATTATTGGGGCAGAACTCCGGGTTCATCACTTTGGCGATAGCGATGCTGATACTGGGAGTTGGAGTGCTGGGAGACCTAAACACGAACGCCACCAGCCAGGAATCTCTTGGAATGGCATTCTGGAGGATTGTGCTCTCTGCTGGCATTCTAGCCATGATCATGAGCGTGATCAATGTGATTGCGGTAAGTCGAACTTCGGATTTAGTGAGCGCAACGCTGATAGTATGGAATACAGAGCTTTGTCTTCGCCGACAGCGACCTTGGTGTCAGTGCACGACATGTGCGGGTCTATGGAGCAGTGGCCCCCCAGAAAGTGATGTCGCGCAATGGCAGCCAGCGTTCATTCCAGCTAAGTATGAAGAGGGAGGAAACTTTGCCTACCTACAGTCCACAAAGCTCGTTGAAAAGGCAGATGTCTATGCGACACACGCGATTCCCTTTGAAGATATCTTCCCCAGTCAATCCTATCAACATAAACGATGCGGCGTCATCGAAGTACTCGAGGGACTCCACAGGAATGACTATTCCCGATCTTGCTCATCACCCGGCAATGCAGTCATCGCATGTCTAAGAAAACAAAGTGAGACAATGTGCTTTTGCGACGACACGACAAGGAGTTCAAATGCGGGGACATCATTTGCGTTGGCGTTGACAGTATGGCAATTAGCGAGCATAGGCAATGGGGACGTTGCAGCGTACGTACCTTCCCGATTGGGATGTAATGAAGATGCTTCTACTGTCTTCTGTTAGATAGCTCTAGAAAAGAATATAATTAATTATCTGCTTCTGTTTACAAAGGATCCTTTTCTATATTTATTATATAGACTTAGATTGGTTACTCTAGATTAGAGTAATATAGTAGTATATTTTAATATTTCTCAGAGTATCTTTATCTCTCCTGTGTAATATATTGTAGTCTATAAAAATATATAATTTATTTTATTTGTCTTGTTTAGCAAGCATTATAAGAAAGATAAATTTTATTGAGATTCTTATTAAATCTTATCAAGATACAGATCTTTATTAAGAGTATTATAGTCTAAGATCTAGAAAAGAAGAAGTCTATTTTTTATCTAGTATTTTATTTATATAGTAAAGGTAAGAAGTATAAGAAGAAGATTTATACTATTTTTAAGAAGATTAAATATTTCTGTTATAAGTATTTTTATTATAAGTACTATTAAGTATTTTCGCCGCAAGTGCTGTTAAATATTTTTATTATAAGTATTATTAAGTATTTTTATTACAAGTATTTCTGTGACAGTGTGTTATTAGTATTCTTTATAATTACTAGGTATAACTGTTAATATAATAAACAAGTATTACTGTATTTATGTTTTTAATAAGTTTAAATAACAGGACTATCTTAATTAAATATCTTTGCTGCAAATATTTCTGTGGTAGTATATTATTAATATTCTTTATAATTGCTAGGTATAACTGCTAGTATAATAAATAAATATTATTATATTTATATCTTTAATAAGTCTAAATAATAAGATTATTTTAAATAGTAGTTTTCTTATAAGTATTAAATTTATGTCTTATAATTATAAAAATATATTATTTTATTATTATTTTTATACTGCATATTTATCTATTTCTTTTAAAAAAAATTATTTATTATTTTTATACTACTTAACACCCTCTGAATATTCTATGGAAAATTAGAATTTTCTTAATCTAAATTTTAATTATTATTATATATACTGAAAGCCACCTTATCAGATATTATTATATTAAATTTTAAACTTATTAAATTTAAACTTCTGTAAAAGTAATTTCTGAGTCTAAAATTAATAATAATATTATATTTTATATATTAAAAAGAAAATAGCAGATATTATAAATCCACATGAAGCTATTTCTAATTTTTCTAATATTAGAGAAATCTATAATAAGTCAGGAGACAACACCAGAGATAATATAAGTAATTTAATTAAATCTAATACCTGAAATAATAATATTCTCTGTCTGTATAATTCTCAGATAATAAAAGTTTATAAATAAATTATAATCTTATTATATTATATATAATAATACAGCTAGATAAATAAGATATCTAATCTTAGTATATCTGATTTAATAACTCTTTTTACAAGTTAATTATATATAATAAATATTAATAAAATATCTAGAATTATATCTATACTGAACAGAAGCCAATACTAGAAAATTTATATAATAATTAATATCAGTAACACTGACTCTTCTTAATTTAAATATATTATTAAAAAATTATTTATTATTATAGTAAAATTTAAGTATAGATCTTCTTGCTGTATATTAAATAAGTATAATATTTTAAATATATATAAGACTAATAAAATAAATATAAGAGAAAAAGAATATAAAAAATAATATATCTGTTATTAATAAGCTGAAAAGCAGAATACTAAGATTATAAGATTATAATAATAAGTATTAGATCTTAATTGAATACTTAAATAATCTGATTAAAATTATATAATTTATTAAAAATAAATATAATATAGAAAATAAATATTATAAGAATAGCTTAACCAAGAAAGAGTAATATAATAATAATCTAGTATATTTTATCTAGTATAAGATTTTAAATATAGTGGATTTTATTATAAATAATAAATAAATTTAAGCTTCTTCTAGAATATTATTAATAAATAATTAATATTAAGAAATAGTCTTTATACTAAAAGTAGCTAATCTTAAAATACTTTTTATATATTAAATATATATCTTATCTAAATAAATTTTTCTTATCCTGACTATAACAGGTAAGATAAATATAATAATAAATAAAATTATAACTAATCTTATATTAATTTTAATTATTATTTTAATAATTATTATGCTGCAGAATATTATCCTTATTAATTAAATTCTAATAATATAATAATATTTAATCTAAAAATAATAAATATCAGATTCTTTATTTAATAAATTTAAATTATTGTGGCTCAGAAAAGATAATAATTTATATTAAATATTCTTTTATTTTATCTGAAAAACTAGATTTTTATATAATATACTAAACTGTTTAAAATATTCCAGAACCAGATAATCTATAAGATTAAAATATAGTATAAAAAACTTAAATATAAATTTAAGTATCCAGCTATTAAAGTATAATAAGAAATATAATAATTAAAATTTAAATTTAAAAAAGCAGATAATCTCTTACTTACTAATTATTTTATTTAAAAAATATTTCTTTTATAAGCTACCAGTATAATAAATAAAAAAATCCTGAAAAATAAATTATAAAAAAATTTTAATAATAATCTTGCTTATCTCATATAACTAATAAAAAATAAAATACTTGAGATTTTTAAATATTATTTATATATAAATAAGATAGATATGAAATAATAATAATAAATATATAATAAAAAAAAATTATATAAAATCTAAATAGGTAGATAATAATAAAAATAACTATTAAACTAATAAAAATAATATTAATAAAATTAATTTATTTAATATTACTGAAAAAGCAAAGCTATTAGAAAATTATTATAATATTAAAGTTTAGTTATTATGACCCTGCCGCTACTATAATAATAATTACTAAAATTAAAAATATTTTAATTATAATTACTATATATATCTAATAAAATAGAGAATTAAACTAGATAATAATAAATCTAATTTTAATTTAAAGAATTTATTAGAATTCAGCTCAGAATCTAATTTCTTTTAAATAAAAAACTAATATTCTCCTCAGGAATAAAAAACCTTAAAAATAAAATAAAATCTTTAATATCTATTTTTAATAAGAATAACTATATTTTATATACTATTTTTATAAAATAGTTATTACAAGTACTTATCTTATATATAATAATATTTAATATATATAATAAGATATTTATTTATCTAGATACAGGATCTGATTTAACTTATATCTTATATATTTATTTAAATAAATATTTTCCAAGAGTAATTATTAAATATTAAACTATAATATTAAATATACTAGACTCAAATATCACTACTAATAAAATAGTTTTATTATATATTTTTTTAGTAAAAAGATATATAAAAATAAAGATATTAGTACTGGAATAAGTCCTGATTAATATTTTATTTAATATAAATACTTATAATATAAATAATATTATTATTAATTTTCTTAAATCTCTTATATAATTTCAGAATACCTATTCTATTCTATTCAAATTAATATAAAAAATATATTTTATATTAAAGAAAAAGTACAGTGTCTACGCTGGACAAAATATTATAATTAAATTAAAAATAAATTATTTATTATCTATAATATATTCTTACTATATTCTAGATAATATTTTATTATAACTTAAGCCAGTATTATAAATTAAATAAAATATTAACTTATTTAGCAGCTTGCCTGGAGTATTTTTAATAAATAATAATTATATATTATTCTACATAAATCTAGACAAAAGCCAGATTTAGATATATTATAAATAATTTATAAAATATATATTAAATCTTAGATCAGTAATTATAATAACAGCTATTATATATATTATATAATTTATAATTAAATCAGAAATTAATATTAATAATAATTCTTTAATTAATTTTAGCAAGACACTGGATAATATTAATCTTAATAATATTAAAATATTTATAATTATTTCTAAATTTAATTTTACCTTACTAGCTAATGCTGATATATTATTTATATAAAAAGATAAATATACTTTCTATATAAAAACTATATTAAATAAATATTTTTTATTATTTTAACTAAAGCTTAAATATTTTACTAGCATAAAAATAATAATTTTATTTTATAATAAATATAATATTAGAGATCTAAAATAGAATCTATATTTTCTAATATATAAAAATTATATAATAATAGACAGTATCTTAAATCTCTTATAAAAAATAGAATAAATTAAAAAAATATTTCTTAATAAATTTTTTTTTATATTTTTATTAGTCTTCATTATCTGACAGCATAATAAATCTTATATTATTATTAATTTATAATATATTAATATATACTTAATCCTGAATATTTATCTACTGCTATAATAAGATAATATATTAAAAATTCTAGATAATTTAATTATTTTTATATTATTAAATATTACTAAAAGCTATTTTTAATAGTCTATAAAATATAAAAATTATTAAAAAATAATATTTATTATATTATATTAAGAATATAAATAATTAATTATTATATTTATAAGACTTGTCTTTTTCTCCAGATTCTTTTAAATAAAAATAAAATCTATATTAAATTATTATTTATAGAATTTTATATTAATATATATTAATAATATTATTATCTATAATTATTCTCTAAATAAGTATTTAAATTATTTAGATTTAGTTCTTGACCTTCTTTAAACTAATAAAATAATATTATTTCTTATAAAATATTATTTTATATACCTATTAGTTAAATTATTTAATTATTATATTTTATATCTAGATATAATTATAATAAATAATAAAATTATAGCTGTATATTATATATAATTTTTATTAATAATTAAAAGTCTTGAGACTGGTATTATTTTTTTTAATTATTATTAATATTTTATTAAATACTTTGCAGTTATAGCTGAGCTATTATATAAATTTAAGATTTTATAATTATATTCAAGATTAAGAAGCAGCTGTACTTATAAAATATTTATTAATTAAATATTTATTTTTATTTTTAATAAT